GGTGATCACTTTGCATGATTAAAGTATCTGCCCAGCTTTTCACTATAAAGTTAATCTTTCCTTTTGTACTTGAGTATTGTTTTGGGAAAGTACTTTGAGATTGCTGTAGTTTTAGATCTATAATGTCTCCCAAAACCCTCACATGTTCAGAGCTGGGCTTTTGGATAAGGTCAGGGGAGCACTGTACTCATCAGTGGACTAAGCCACTAGAGTTCAGAGCTAGAGTCTGGTCAGAAGAGGCAGGTTAGCTGGGTGTCACCTGGCAGGGTGTATCTATCCCTGGCTCCTCCCTTCTGCCTCAGCCTCCTAACTACCATGATGTTAGCGGCTTTTCTCTGCAGGAACATTCCACCTTGCCCTTCCTGCTAACTAGGTACTAAATCCTCTAAGAAACTTGAGCTGAAATAAACCTCTCCTCCTCTAAGTTGTGGATGTCTGATATTTTGACCCAGTGACAAGAAAGTGTTTTAAGACAGACTAGCTTAGAAATGGATTTGACCATCAATTAATGGGTAGCAAGAGTAGCAGGACTATCCCAACTTAATATTTAATTTTGGCTGAAGTGAGTATTTTCTTACCACATGAGATTTTCTATGATCCAAAATAAATTCCCAGTATTTATAGTTTGTTTCAAGATAAAATCATATATTTTCATTTCTTGCTACTTTTTTCCTTAACGTACTTTTTGGAAGATCTACTTAAAATTAAAAAGTTAATTTATGAAACCCTTTAGAATTAGTTTCTCTAATTATCTCAGATGCCCTTCTTCCTAATGTTAACTAATTCTATTATCTACTCCAAGGATATAAAGTAATATTCTAAGCATGGCAAAACATGTGCTACTACTCCTTCCTGAGTAAAAGTAGAGCTAATTAATATTTAAGTGGTTTATAGGAGTATATGTGTGTTGGGGAAGGAATGTTACATCACCTTCCTCTAATAAATTTAAATAGAAGAAAAAGAATCATAGTACTGTATTACTTTCCTTTGATGAATAAAAGATTATCATGAAAAGTTAAAAAAAAAAAAAGACTAGCTTGGCATGATGGTTCATACTTATAATCTTAGCACTCAGGAGGGTGAGGTAGGAGGTTCCATGCTAGTTTGAGGCTATAGTGAGTTCAAGACCAGCTGGAACTACATAGCAAGCCCCTGTCTAAAATATAGATAGATTAAATAGAGATTCCCCTCCCATTGTCAAATTTAAGTTCATTCACATCTGCATTGATTTGTGGTTTTATATATTATTTATAAATTATGTAGTCCTTTATAAACATTTTGCTAAATTGTCTCATTTGACTAATGGAAACCACTTGAGGCTATCTTCTAATTAAGTCTTACTTTATTTTAGTACAGGGACTACAACGTCTCACTACACAGCTTCCACTCATAGTGATCCTCCTGTTTTCAGCCTCCCCAGTGCTGGGATTACAGGCGTGCACCACCACATCCAGTCTCAGTCACCATCTCGGCATACCCCGGGGGCAGGGCCAGCATGCCATGCAGGGAATTGAACCCTAGTCCTTGAGCCTGTCTAAGTAGGTGCTTTAGTCCACTGAGCTATTTGGCCAGCCCGTTTAAGTCTTTTAAATATGCTCATATTGTCATCATTATTTTAAACAATTTATTACTTTCTGGCCTAGTAGAATATTATAGGCTCTCAACCTATTCCTAGGATCATTGTTTCTTCAGATGCTGGTTGCTTTTTAGTGGAGAACAGTACTTAGAAACCAAGATTTGGATGCTAGACGTGCTCATTGCTGTTAGAGTATGGATGTTCTCAGGTCCTCATGGTGAAATAACAGAATTATATGTATCTTTACAAGCATGGACACATGCATAGATTAGTTTTACATGTTCTATAACTTCATGAATAGGCTCATGCAGTATGTATATATTTTTATATAAATGTCATCTTATTCATTATGATAGGCCAGCCAGAACTACATATCTTGGACTGTGATGTCTTTGAACTACAATATCTTTGAAATTTGTCTATGTTATTATATTCTTATTCCCATCTCACCTACTCTGATTGACATCCTTTTAGGTTACCTCCATGTTTGCATAACCTTGTGAGGCCCTTGACTTCTCATTTGTGTACTTTTCCCATCTCTATTCTCCTCAGAACCACTAGCACTCCATTCCCTTCCATGGACATCTATTTTGTTCTTCCCCACTTAATGTTGGATCTCTGCTTTTAAAATGCTTTCACGCTAGGTGTAGTGGTACATGCCTGTAATCCCCAGCACTCAGGAGACTGAGGTGGAAGATTGCTGGGAGTTCAAGGCCAGCTTGCACCACATAATGAGACCTTGTTTCAACTCCCCCCATAAAGCTTTCTTTTGGTTATTGTGCAAGCATATATTTTTATGTTTATTGACCATAAGGATTTCCTTTTTGGATTATCTGCTCTTCCTTTGCCCATTTCTCCATTGGTGGCCTTGTTTTTGTTTTTTTGCATTGTTGGGGGATCTAACCTAAGGCCTTACAAATGCTAAGCAAATGCTTTTCTACCAGGCTATATATACCAAGCCCAGTGGTATGCTTGCTTGTATTTGTTAATTTGTAAGAATTAAAGTTCACTTTTCAGATATTTTTACTTTTATCATCTATGAACAAGTACAGTTAGAAATAGGAGTACTAAGGGCTGGCCAGATAGCTCAGTGGATTAAAGTTCCTGCAAGCAGGCTCTGAGGCTGGGGGTTCAATCCTTGGGCCTGCTGTGCCAGCCCCGCTTCTGGGGTGCTCTTGGGAGACTGTAAACAGGCAAACCATTACAAGTCCACAATCTAGTAGTGAGACCCTGAACACCCAAAAAAAAGAAAGAAAAGAAATACGAGTACTAATTGAGGATATTGCTTTAATGGTTCATTTTTCACTGAGATACTGAAGGATTTTTCGGTTTCTTGTGTGTTTTTGTTTTGTTTGGGGGGGGCGGTGGCTGGCTCAGGATGCCTTAAGGGCAGGTCTGGAAAGGCATGCTGATCTGGGGATTGAACCAGAGTATCCTCAGCCTGAGTGCCTTTGCTTAAGCAGGCACTGAAACAACTGAGTTAATGGGCGGGCCCCCTTTACTGAGATACTGAATCAATGTATTTTGAGGGCAATTCTATATAATTGTTGGGGGAAAATCATTTCATAATTAAGCTGTGATTTGGGCATATCTGAGGCCTAGTACTTTGCCATGCAGGCAGGCTAGTGAACATAATTTGATATGCCTCTCTAGGCATAGTTGAGGCCTCAGTAGTCCTGGGAGGCTTTGATGTCCTGTCCTAGGGCAAGATTGCACAAGCTTAAGACATCCTTGAGAATCCAGTACTAATAAAAATAGTTTCTAGTTTCACCACGGGGAATGAACAAACCCCTCAACCTGCCATTTCTCCTCACCATCCTCATTAACATAAAGATCCTCATTAGCATAAAGTCACAAAGCCTAACAATAATCCCTCCAATTATTGTATGCACTCAATAAATAGTAGCTAGCCCCTAGTGTCTTTGTCTCTGCCCATCCTGAGGCACTGACCTCCCAACCACCCTTGCTTGGTTCATTACTAAATTTGTCTTTTATATTTCATCCTTTCACTGTACCCCTCATACAGGCAGTTAGGGATCTTGGCCAGGTCCCCAATAAATATAATTGTACCTAAAAAGTTTTGGGACCAGGGAATTAGCTCAGAGGCTCAAGTGCCTACCTGGGAAGCACAAAGTCCCAAGTTCAATCTCTGGTTACACACACACACACACACACACACACACACACGTCTTTTGAACATTTACTATCTGTGTTCTTTAGTAATTTTTTTTCCTGGGCTATTTTAATTTTTTTTTAATTTAACTATGGCACCTAACATAAAATTTACAGTCTTACCCACTTTTAAATGAACATGTTAGTGATACTATGTTCGCATTGTTGTGTCCCTATCACTACTGCCCATAGAATTCTTCAAAAACTGAAACTCTTCTGTCCTGTACATGACTCTGTAGTTTTCCAGCCTCCTAGTATCTGGCAGCTACCATTCTATTTCTGTCTTTTTTAATTTGACTTGTCTAGATACCTCAGATAAGAAAAACATCGAGTATTTGTGACTGACTTCACTTAGTATAATGCCATTGAGGTTCTGCTCCTCTGTCTTGTATCATATGTTGGTATGAATATCTTTTTATATGTGTGGTACTGAGAATTGAACCTAGTTCTGACTGGCCTGCCTGCCTTTTTTTTTTTTTTTTGACAGGGTGTTTGGTAAGTTGCCTGGGCTGGGCTTAAACTTTAAATCCTGCCTCAGTTGCCCAGAATGTTGGAATTAAAGGTGTTTGCCACCTTGCCTGGCCTCATTTATCTATTAATGGGCACTTGGGTGAAGAGTAGACCTTCATGATAAATAAAAGTCAGGTTATAAAACAGAAAAAGTATGATCTAACATTTGTAGAATTCTAGTTATTTAATGTTAGGCAAATAACAAAATTAACAGCTACCTCGGGTTTCAGGATGTTTTGTTCATCTATATTGATTTTTTTCCCCTCAGTTAATATGTATTGCTTTCGTTTAAAAATAAATAAGAGTTAAAAGTTAATATAAGGGCCAGCCAAATAGCTCAGCAGATTAAAGTGCCTACAAGCAGGTGGAGGGGCCAGAGGTTCAATCCCAGGGCCTGCCGTGCTGGGCCTGCCCCAGGAGCACGCTGAGATGGCAATGGAAACAGCATGGTGGCGCACGCCTGTAATCCCAGCTCTTGGGAGGCTGTAAACAGGTGGATCACTACGAGCCCGATTTAGTAGCAAGACCCTAAACACCCTGTAGACCCTTCCCTAAAAAATAAAAAAAAATAAAAAATAAAACTAATGTAAAGTAACTGTAGACACCTTTAAGGGATAACTTCAGTAGACAGGCAAATGTAATGCGTGTCTATTGGTGGAAGCCTTGTGAGAATAAACTGACCTTATATCACTCAGCCTGTGGTGATTCTGGGACTAAATTATACTCGTTGCCTATCTTTTAGGAGGACTATTTTTGATACACCAGATGAGGATCCAAATTACAATCCACTACCTGAAGAACGGCCCGGAGGCTTTGCCTGGGGTGAGGGCCAGCGCCTTGGAGGTTAAAGCATTCATGTCAATAATGAGACCCAGCTGGAAGGACTCAGTGAACTACCTGTTGGGATTCCTTTATCCTCTGTTGCAAAAGTATGCACACTTTTGACAGCTTGACAGATTTGAACTCCAGAAGCACTTTACAGAATGGTACATTGACTATTCCAGAAGATATTTCCAGCATTTTACCAGTGGTTCCTCACTACACTGGTACTGAAAGTGTAACCTCTTGGAGCCAAAAAACTGGAGAAACAGTTATTATGCTGCCTCCTAACAAGTACATGAATACTTCTGATGCCATAAGGCAGGCCTCTTTCTTCCTCTTTCTGATAGATGAGGCCATGGTGTAATGGAAGTTTCAGAGAAGACAAAATAAAACTGAATTCCATCTCTGTTTCACTGTATTAAAGCTTTTGTGTGTGATCTTTTAAATTATGTGTTCTAGCTCTCCTGTGTCAGTCTGAATTCAGAGCAGTTTACATGCCTGCTCTTTTTGTGTCTGTACAGCTTTTAACTGTATTTCATTTCAGGATTGGAAATATATGGCTGATGTGTTGTGGCTTTGTACATTTTGCTAATTCAGAGTGCTAGCTTCAATAGGAATATTTATCTCTGTCCTTCAGATAATTTGTTCTCCATCTTGGAATTGAAAAACTTTGTTGTCAGACTAAAAGGAAAAAAGAAAAAGGAGGGCCGTTTCATTAACAGGAGGAATTCCACTGTAGAAAAACCAGCTATAAGCAAAAAGTTAATCTGTATTTGTTATGCCTGTTTTTCTCCATTAGGAAATACTGAAGTAAAGACTGGTAATCGCTACAGTTTTGAAAAACCACCAGAAGATAGATAAATAGGCAGCAATTAGGCATACATTCCTCCTTGGTCTTTGGATGGTTCAGAATTTTCATTTGCTTCATGAAAAACTGAAAATCTTTTCAGCGCCAACTATCTGGTGTACCTTCCTCATCAGATAGAAATTAAGGTCTACAAAATTTGGCGCTTAATGCCTATTATTTAATAATTACTGATCCAATATATTGTCTCCTTTGATCTCAAGAGGTTAATGCTTAACCAGAATCTAGAAGAGTAAAAAAAGAACACCCCCCAAGAAAGAGATGCTTTTAGTTCTTATAAGCAGCATATAGGCACAAGATCCTTTCCCCAAACTGGATTGTCCTTAGTCATTCAGTCTTGAATTAAGGGTAGTTTTCCATAGTGAGATTTTCCACAGAAAAATTGACATTAGCTCAGATTAGACATAAATACTCTGGGAAGTTTCAGATTATTTGTCAAAAAATATTTTAATGTCTTTCTAAATGAAATATGCATAAGTAATGGGATTTAGAATATGTATTTTACATGTTGCTAGTAAGTAACTGAATATGATTGTTGCAACTTTATGGAACTTGGGTTAATGGACTGCTCTTACTTCCCTGATGGTTTAGAGAACCTTTTTAATATTTAAATGCGTATTATAGATTGTGTAATTTTATAGGATTCTTAAATTTGACCATTTCTGTCTTGGTTCAAGAAAGCTTTTTCAGTGACTTACTCATTTTGGTGTTTTTGTTATATTTTGTATTCTGCTTTGCAGTACTAGAGACTAAGCCCAGGGCCTTAACACTAGTCTATATGTCCAGCCCTTTAATTTTAATGTTTATTCTGAGACAGGGTCTTGCGGGCCAAAATGCACTGCCTCAACCTCCCAGAGTGCTAAGATTGCAAGGCATGTACTAGCACATCTGCCTACAGTTTGTTGTTTTGGTTTTTTTTTTTAATGTTTTGGAGTAGAATGGGGTTCTCTAGTGTTTTTTTTTTGTTGTTGTTCTTTTAGCATTAATTTTTTAGTTAGCCAGTCAATAGAATTCTTATGGTAAAATTTTAATCCTAAAATCTACACACTTTCACCCATGTAGGGAATGTCTGTACACATGAATGACATATAATAGGAAATACTTTTTGATTGTGGAGCCTAAAGGTAGTCAATTACAGCATTTTGGTTTCCCTCATTTTATGCAGTGTAAAATCCTACACTGTCCTGATGGTTATAGTTCAAATCACTGACCTCTTCATCCAGCCAGTCCCACTACCACCATCCCTAGCCTTGTGTTGCTGAACAGGATCTCTTACACATATTGGGCATAAAGGAAAATGCTTACTTTTTTCCCAAGTTACATCCTGAACTTCATTCTGCCAGAACACACTTCTTTTGCATAATGCAAATCAACTGAAAACTAAGATTTGAAATATACAATGTCTCAATTAATCTTACATATATACCAGTATAATTTGAAGGACTCCTGAATTCTACCAGTAATACAGAAAAGCACACCCCTGATGAAGGCATAGGTTTTTTGTTACATAAATACAGCATATGTTCATTTTAAAAATAAATGGACTTATAAAGTGCATCTCCTAGGAGATATTTTTATATACATTTTGGTGTGTATGTTTTTTTATATCTATATATATTAGGGATTTATATTTGTTTCTCTCCTAAAGTTGTTCTTTCTTCTGTCATTCTTACATATCCTAAAATTCCATACTACTTGTCCAGTCTCTTGAAGCAAAGCACCCATTTTTCTGCATCTTGGTAATGGAACCCTCACTTTGTCTCAGCCTCTACAAATTAAGAAATACTGGCACTACTGGCCATGTGAATAATGGGCTTCCTAGAATTGTCATCTCTCCTGCCAGTGTTTTATGTTGTGGCTATATTTTCCTTTTGCAGGTGAGTTCCATCTGTGTTGTTACCCAAGATCCCGCCATTATTTTCAATGTGAATTTGCATTAAAACGATTGAATCTTGTGTGGTCAAGTCATTTCTCTGCTGCAAAGTCTACAGTGGCTTCTTAATAAGCCTCTATCAAATCCATACTTTCTGTCTTCCTTTCTGAATGTCACTCCCACTTCCACCTATCAGGGGTCTCAATTTAAGATTCTTTAGTTCTTCAAGGCCTTGCTTTGCTCCTGACACCTCAAGCAATCTTGATTATAAGGCCTATTTCATTCTCTTGGAATACCTGCAAAGTTCCAAATTTGTATGACACACTCTTCCACCAAATCATATACTGTCTTATACTTACCTGGCAGGGGAGATACCATGATCACAAATCATATACTGTCTTGTACTGTTCCTAGCTGGTACGTATATATTAGTCATGTCTCCCTCATAAGAATGTAAGCTCCTTAAGGGCAGGGATCATGTTTAAATTTTATGTCCACCACAGTGCCTAGCACAGTGCTTGGCACATGGCTGCTGAATAAATACTTTATTGATCAGCAAACATCTGGTATTTTTAATTGTACAGGTGTTAATGGGTTTGCACACAAGCTGTGCCTAGTTACTTAGGCTTATGGTTGTCTGAATATGGGATGAAGCAAGGCTGAATATGACCAAGGGTAGTGTAGTGGTTTGATACTCAAGACAAGTCAGGGATTGCCAGCTGGTATGCTCATAGTCATAAGTCCACAGATTATCCCTGACAAGAACAGTGTGTCTGATCACTTTTTGGAAGGACTAGAATATTCTTTATTAGTTTGTCAGCATCTGTACATGAAAGCCACTGAGCTGCAAGAATTTCATAGGATAGCAGAATTCAGGCAAATGTGAAATGTGGGCACTATGCTTGATGCTTAATAGTTAGTTTCCTTTTCATCTTAACGTTGAGGCTACAGAATAGTTAAATCTTGAGGCCAGAGATTATAGATGAGTTACTTAGACATGCTGATTTGACAACTTTTTTTAATGAGCCAATTTTTAAATTAAC